CCTCGCTCCCAATGTGTGGCTTCATAGCTCAGTTGGTAGAGCATCGCACCGGTATCGCGGAGGTCACGGGTTCGAATCCCGTTGAAGCCCTGATTTTTTCAGGCTTCTTCTTTCCAATTGCTTAAATTGGAAAAGTAACTGCAATGATCATTCTTCACTTTAATACAATTTTGTTAACAAAACAATATAGGAAAAACAGCCTGGGGGGTGAGGGTCAGCTATATACAGGTTTCATTATACCACATAATTCACCAAAACATTTTCAAGATGTGGTAGATTATGCAGTGTTTTCCAGCGTTGTTTGCTGAACATGATATATGGTATTAAGAATGTCCTGTCAGAGGAGAAACACTTGAAAGCTCTGAAGATACACAGCGAATTGATACAACTTTAATATGACGTATTCTTACCATGTTACTAGAACTCTGCCATTTGCTTGTCCAACAGCTAACAAGTTCTCTGGTTCAGATTTTGGGTACCATGCAACACACTATATCACAAAAAAATATGACTAGCAAATTATTAAGGAACTCTAGAGAAGAATAGGAGGGTTAAAAAGCTACAACCTAAGTTTTATCAATAGCACATGGTATAATGTGATCAAACCACACCAAAGTTGNCCCAAAAAAAAACAGTTAATGTTGTTTTGGTCTGAAAATCAACCGATACAATACAGAAACAATACAGTGTTATCCAAAACAACAGCGTAAAAGGGAAAGGGATAACTACCATTCATTCAACACCACTTTGGATTTTAGTCAGCGTAACAGGAAAATGTAACAGGAAAATTTTTCCGATTTCTTCTTAGTTAGTTCTGTCCAGGGTTGTAGGTGTGTGTGTTTGGGTCATTAGGCAAGTGCTTAAAAGATTAGATCACCTTCCTTCATAAGCATCATGTGAGTTACCTTCAGATATTGTATATCAGCCATGACAGACAAAAGAGATGCGTAAGTATCATCAGAAAGCTGAATCACTATCAAAACAAAAACAAACAAACATGAAAATACATTGTATAGCAGACTTAACAAACACTAGAAACTGCATGCATCCTGATTGGTCAAAACACCATATTTTATGGGTTTAAAATGTTACAGAGAAACCATGTTTTACTGTTTTGTGCACACAGTTAATCTCTATGAAGACATGATTGATCATTGCAGTTTTGCACACAACTTAAGCAGTTGTGAAATTAAAGCCAGAAAAAAATTCAGGCCTGAATGGGATTCAAACCCATGAACTCTGCAATACCAGTGTGGGAGCTGGTCACTGTGTGAGTTCATAATATACCCGTAAATGGTGAAGAATACAAGTAAATATATGAAAGATCATATTTGAACTGCAGAGAAAGATATGAAGACATGATTAATCATTGCAGTTATGCACACAACTTAAGCAGTTGTGAAATTAATGTCTGAAAAATCTCCACATCACAAATGTTTTTCATTCTACATTTGTACTGTTATGCTATTCCAAGGTCAAAAGGAGTGGGTTTCATTAAAGCCACAGACCAATACCTTGGCTTCTTCCACCAGCAGCCTTTAGAGCACTGTCCTGTAAAATAAAGCATGAAGACAAATTCAGTTGTGTTGTTCAAGAATATATACATACCTTCTCTACTTTTTGGGTTTGACCCTCCCCACCATTCACCATTCTTTTCACCCAGAAAGAACTTCGCAAAGTATTACAACAAGTTTAGATGTATAAAAATTAAATAACAGAGAGATTCTCAAGCCTACCAAACCTTTGTCAGTGAGGGCTTTTATTCCAGTTTTCAGTTTTGGATGAAATTTATCGCCATTTTGGGTGATTTTTTGCATGGTTTTTCAGTTTCTAATAGGCCCCTATGCCCCCCTCCTTTGGCCTTTTCTAATGATGAGGCAACATATAATTCAGGCTACATCAAACTTGAGACTACTTCTAACCAGCAGTGTCCCTCCTTAATATAGGGTGGTTAGAGGGTTCTGCAGGAGGGGCACTCCTGCTGAGGTCAGTCCATTTCAACTGTGTTGCTTAACACTTATAATACTTCAAGGTTGGTGGAGGCCTCTCAATATGTTTGTGCAGATACTTTTAAACTATATTGTTCTTGGGAGATCAATTTATTTGTTAAGTCAACACTCTTTTAGAAAGATGACCAAGTCTGGAATTCTCATGTGGTTTAAATAGACATGGCACGGACAAGATAGGAATTGATCACCACTTGTGTTCAAATTGATCTACGACCTATCATACCCACCATCCCCTCCCCAAATATGTGTTGGTTCCGTCTAGACACATCTTGCCTAACGTAGGATACCAAAGTTAAAGGAAGTAAACTATAAAGTGTGGTATTTCGTTTTTTTTTTAAATCATTTGCCATATTACCTGCGATCTGGTGACTTTGTACAGACATATTTCGTTCCCATAGGTGATGAACTTGTCCGGTTGGTTTGGAGACCACAA